ATCCGCGAGAAAACCCACTTGGGAAAATTGCTTCCCTGCAAGTTTCGGACAAAGTTTGTAGGTGCCGCAAATAGCTTCCACATTAGGGACCTGGAGAGTAAGCCTCGAACATGAGAAGAAAATCCCCATGTCACCCTACTCGTCTTCCATGGCCGCCATGGTCTTGTATGAAGTAGAACTGAAAAATAGTATTGCAGCAAAGGCTAGTATTGCCTCGTACCATGTTGACAGGGTCGTGAACAATCCGCATATACTTCAAAGATCAGAGAAGCAGCACTTCATGTGATCCTTGTGAAGCCCCTGCACCTTGATAACTTTGCACACTCCGCAAGCCAACACCCATACCGTACATCTCAAATAGGACAGCAAAAGCATCTACATCAGAGCTTTTCGTGCCCTGAAAATCTGCAATTTTCNNCCCCCCCCCCCCCCCTCATGAAGAGGCTCCCCCAAACAAAACAGAGCCCCTCAGGAGGACCTTAAGTTTACAGTTTACAAGGCCTTCCAGGTGGTCCGTGCATGGGGACCCTGGGGATGCACCTGAATCATAGCTACCAGGTACCACGATGGCGCACAAAAGAGGCCGCGGAAAACTCTGACCCATCCTTCTTTCATAGCCGCGCTGAGATTAAAGGCTGAGTTGTCCGGGAGAGCTTCGCATCAACAAGCATGATGGATGCTGTTCTGAGCTGTACGAAAGCAACAGCGGTGATGACACCACCGGGAAGGATATGACATCACAGTCACTGGAAACACACAAGACCAGGAGCGCTTTAAATGAATTGCACCGGTCTCTGCTTTGGGAACACGATGCTACCTGACAATGTGGCGATAGGGGCCAGTGAACGGGATAAGAAGTTGTCGTTAGATCGGCAGCATAAGGCACGAAGGGATCCGAGGCTCTGCTTGCTTCTGTCTTTTTGTTGGCGTTGAATCAAAAATCCAAACCAGGGTCTGAAAATATTGCCGATAATGGCATTTCCCATATCGAAGTCACCTCTCTCTAGTGTGTATACGGGTATAGGCAGAACATATATATATATATATCTAGAGAGAGAGAGAGATGTTATACCTCGTCGGTCCAGCTCAGGCTCCTGACCTAAATTTCACTTGCCCACTCTCTGTATAGTGGGGCGTGGTGATCTAAGCCTTCAAAGCCCTACACCTTGACACACCGGGGCATTGAGATCCAATCCAACCCCAGTCGAAACAGCCATGTGGTCCTGTCGCGAGTGGCCGCTGCAAAATTCTGGCTCACAAATGACCGAGCTTTGGCCTCTTGCAGCAAGGGCAGAGGTGGTCGTGGTGGTGGTAAGACCTCCCACTACCACTACTAATACCACCACGGCTAGCACTACAAGAACAACTGCTACCACTACTGCTGCTACTAGTACAAGTAGTAAAGTCATCCTACTAGTAATAACTCCTTCCCTCCACCGAGCACGTCCCCTCAAATGCCGGGCTAGGCGGTCAAGAGACCAAGCAGAAGCAAGCGGGTTGCACGCCACACCCACGCAAAAATCAGAAGCAAATTCTGCAACTACCAGCAGCTTTTGCATGTGCATACTTGGAACGGGCGTTACTATGCACCACGGAATTAAACGAACAGTTGAGAGCTGTCAACATTCCACAAGATGTGGGAAGAAATTTTCTGAATGTGCAAGCTGGGGAACATAGTTGGTGGAGGAAGGCTACTGCTACTACTCCCGCTCCCACGTCCACTCTCCTCCTTCTGCTGCTCCTCCTATCATTCCAAGTGCTGCTGTAATTTGCATTTGTCTTGTAGCAGCAGCAGCTGCAAGATAGGAAGTGGCAACGCTTCCCGCTAAGAAACCCTCAAAGCAAGATGCAACTTTGCCAATGGCGTTGCCCCTCCGGCTTACTGCAGCACCAGCGCTTCTATTTCTACTTGCTATTCTACAGGCATGTACAGCATCTGTTCCGTAATGGCAGCCGAAGCAAGTAGCCGACCTCGCTCAGGAAATTAATTTTCCGCTGCGTGCGCCTTAGAAGGGCATTGATGCTTTTAAAGACCTATCTGCGATTTTAGGCTTGGGTCTGCGGGATAGAATTTTTGTACAACTGGGGAGACGCCGAGGGCACAACATTCTGAGGGGTACTGGGAAACAAGGGAGTAGCACATGGCCTTGCAGTAAGGCAAAGCCACCCCACCTACAGTTGCATGTAAAAAAATAGCAATGTTAAAGGCAAACAGTCGCTCTTAAAAAGAAAGAGAAATTAGACCACAACCCCAGACACAAATGGCATGATGTCTCTATAGTCATGGTTGAGAAATGGTAAAGACATGTTAAGAAGGTCTGTACCGAGACGCGACCCCATTGACCTTTTGCACTAAAGGCCCCTCACCTTCAAACCAGTTCAAACCCGATGGTCGTAAAGATATCGATTGTAATGGCGAGGCAATTGCTGAGGGGAGATCAATATTACATTGCGACCACTGCCACTATCCTGGGAAGTTCATAAGTAATCAGAAGCACAACTGCAATCCAAGACCCCACGTATGACTACCCACGAACCTTCAAGTAGGGTTGCGCAAAGCGTCTCGCAGTTAGGATCCCTTTGGTCCTGCTTCTTCCGCCTCTTCCTGAAAAACGATGATCCAAGAGTAACCCCAAGAGCCCTCCAAGCCCCAAACCCTAAACACTCAACCCCAAATCCCAAAAAATCATGGGGAAAATCTACAGTTGATGTTACAGGAGACTATCTTGGCTCTCAGAACCTACAAGAAGAATTAAGGGCTTTAGGACGATGTACCGTAAGAAGCTCTAGACCCTAAAGAACCAATTCAATTGAAATCAGCATTGCTTCCTAAGCCCTTTGCCTGGGTTTCTGCCAAGGAACTTACTTCAAGTTACTATATTGGGGAAACCATGTTAATTATTTATATATATATATATGCCGATTATGGAAAAATACATTAAATTCCACCCAGTTGCTCGCTGAGAAAGGGCTTCAGCGCCGACCAAACGGCCTGGCCAGGCGTGGCAGAAGTCCAAGAGCTGCCAGGTATACCAGGAAGTATGCTTTACAGGGGTCCCTGTGTATCGCTTGAAACGGGATATGGGAGTTGTGTAGGGGTATATAGGATTTAAGGATTAGGGTACAGTATACCCCATCTTGGGAAAATACCCTCTGCAAATAGTGTCTGGGACTTAGAGCGCCAAGAACTTAGAGTAGCTCTTTTTCTGAGAGTGACTTACCCCACTTTGGAATTGACAATCTTGGCAGGCCCTGTGTATAACAGTTCAAGAGGTAGGCTGCGGGAATCATTTGTGGAAGTACGGGTGCATAAGGATCCTCATGGTGACAGTGTCTGCAGAGTAGAGCACCAATCATCAGCATTCGTGCAGCCATCCTGCGCGACCCAGGAGAAATCCACAATGAGGATGCAGTTGAGCCGGTCTGCAAAGACCTGACAGTCATGCACAGTCTTCTGCAGTCATGAACACGGCTCAAGCTGTGGTGACGCAACTCTATGTACGCTAAGTTCTGGGCCACACCGAAATTGTTGGCAAGGTCTTTGAAGGCCTGATGACTTGCACACAGAATTACAAAGTACTCGGGGTTTTGTCCTGAGCTGCACTTGCTCGCGGCATGTGTTAGCCTGCTGTGCACAAGTACACGCACATCCCCATGTCTTGCATGCCAGAGAGCGGCTGCCTAGCTTAGAAAGATGGGAGGAAAGGTCGGAAGGAAGGGACAAGAGCTTGGAGTTCGGCCAACTGCTGCGCAGATGCCAAGCTCACAGCTCTGAGACCACAAGAAATTTCCCCCGGAGGCTGTCACCGCCCATAGTCTTACAGCCTCCGAAAAACCAGAAGGCACAGGATAACCTCAATAGGAGCAGAAGCAGCAGAGGAGCAGCAGGTCAATACTCAGGAAAGTAAATAATAGGGTTTCCCCAATATAGTAACTTAATTTAAGTTCCTTAAATCTCTATATTCCCCCAGTTTCCATTTCATTTTCCATTTTCTTTTCCATTTGATTCTCCATTATGGTGGATAAGGTTGCCCGAAAAGGCCTCGAGGCCTTGGCAAAGTCCAGACGCAGAGCTACCGAGGCCCGATGTCCGGACAAGCTGCTACAAATTCACAGGATAAAGACCACCCGCATGCCCGCTCATCTCAGCCAGGTGGCAAATGTTGTGACACATGAACTTTAACATGAAGAAAGACTGTCAAAGTTGGAGGAAACATGCGTGAGAGATTGAATTGTGGCCGTGATTTGTGCTCAGCTTTCGTTCTATGTGATCTGTTTGTAGACACGCGGCTCGGGCTTGAGTCAGGACCATGCGCCCCTGAGCAAGTGTGTTAGACTCCTGTTCAACAGCTTTCAGCATCATACAGCCATGCATTCGAAGAGCTTTTGATATGCAAACCTCCTTCAGCGACAGTAACTTTACTGCAAGCTGAGGCAGAGGCGAAGAGATCAAGATTCAGATGAGACTGCAGCCTTGCTGAAGCTTTGGGATTTCGGTGAAGTCGAACAGGCAAGTCAATCATCTTGATCTATCCCAACCCGAAAAAGTTCAAGGCAAACCAACCAACCTTTTGGGTGCAGATCAATGCGCTCTCTGCTTAATAAACAAAAGAAGGGATCCTCAAAAATGATGGTGACTCTAGGGATCCTATGAAAGTATGGGCATTCTAAGGGGGGCTGAAAGGCCTTCTGCTCATAAGGATCATAGAGGGGCAGCTGCGCAGAAACCCAAACTCCACACCCCAAGCCGTAAACACCAAGCCCAGAACTCTAAACGCCAAAACGCCAAACCTCGAATGAAGCGCAAGCCATCAACCAATAAGGCAGCATCGAATGTTCCACCTGAACCTTTTCATTCAAAAGCTGGTTCCTAGTAGTGTTGAGGTGTTGATGGTCGAAACCCTGCAGGACTTAATCCTCTATACTACCGTACTTCCCAAGGTCGAGGTACATAGGGGCATCCAGGATTGTGGCGCGCAATGCTACTCGAACTGCGGTTTTGCTCTAATGATTGTTCCAAAACTTAGGGGAGCGGGGGGCTCGCACTACAGGAGGAACCCAAATATGGAAACTTGTGCATTTTTTGGGGGGGAGGCCCCAAAGTCTACAAGCTAAATCTATGTGCAAGTCCAGGTGAGGCCAGGATGTATGTACTCCTATATAATCGCTGTATACCCTGTAGAATCCTAAGTAAACTCTATACAATCCCTATATACCCCTACATAGTCCTATATAAACCGCTAAGATAACCAAGTCTGGGAACCCTAAACCCTAAATAATCTTGTAGTTTCCATTTACCAACATCCCTCTATATACTTAAAAACCCTATATATCCCTATAAACTCCTACAAAAACACTCCGTATACACCCGTATATACTCTATATAAACCCTAACATTACCAAGTCTGGGACTGGATCATGTCGGCTACCAGGATCGCTTGGCCATCCTCCTGCGCCAGCCGAGTCGCTGCCTCAGCAAGGTGTTCTCGCTTAAGTATTACAACTCTTATTGTTACTTCTATTAGTATGTGTATAATTGTTACTATTATCATGACGATGATTAGTATTAGTATTGTCGCTATTATTGCTAGTATTTTTTCATGACTGATAGTATTATTGCTAGCACTATTGTCATTACATTGGTATTGCTAGCGCTATTGTCATTACAAATACGACTGCTACTATCATTGCTAGGATTTGGTGCTTGTTAGAAGTTATTGCCACTATTCTTGTTACAATTCCTACTATCAGTATTATTGTGATTCTTCTTGCTACTATTAACCGTAGTATTGGTATTGCTAGTATTATAGTTGCTATTGTTATTGTGCCTTTCATTATTATTGCTATGTCCGTTTTATTGCTTCTGTTATTAGTATCGTTATTGTTACACTACTACTATGCTTGATACCATTATATTAATACTATGGAAAATCAGTGTTAGATTTAAGGATCAAAGTCCAGGTCTAGGGTCCAATCAGGACTCAGTGTCTAGGGTTGAAAGATGTAGGGTACGGGCTATTGCATAGGGAAAGATTAGCAGGTTGCAGTTCAGCCAGTGCGGAAGAGATTGCACTCGTTCTTGGAATCTGTAGAAGCACATGCTGATCACCAGAACAAGCACTGCTGTTCTTAGCAGCGATGGCAGCGATGCTTCCATGGTGGATCTTTGCGAGGGTTGCTTCTGCTAGTATTTCACACTTGCCACAGAAGACGTTCCAAAAAAAAATGCTGTTGTTGGCAGTAGCGGTAGCATTGATTGCTATTCTCATTTTCTATGTTTGCTTGAGACTCCTTGGTCCATCCGTACACTGACCGCCAACGACTTCTATGCCAATTCTCATTCCCGAGCTCAACCTAAATTCCTAAACCATAAAATCCTAAAAGCTAAAATCAGAAACCCTAAAATCATACCTGCCTCGAAGGCCAGGAACACCTGCGGATGGCGTTGGGGAGTGTATGAAGGTTCGCGCTGAAGCACTACACATGTGAGGCCACGCTGACAAGTCTGAATCCTAAACCCTTACACCCATAACACTCAAATTGACCCTGAACTCTACACTTTTCATAAATCTTAAGCTCTAAATGGCTCAATCTTAAAAACCTCTAGCTTCTACGCCCTAAGCCCACCTGCGGAATCAGAGTTCGCAGGGGCTCGGTCTGGCTCCTTGCGCTGATATATATGGTTGGGCGATTCTGCCGGTCTCGTCCAATGATCCGGATGTCACATGCCACCTGGTTAATTTAGGGTGTAAGGGTTTAGGGTAAAAATAACTCAGTTAGTTGAAGTGGTACATATAACCCGGTTGGAACCATATCAGGGCGTACCCTCTGAGGGGTTACACAGGCTTCTTTAAATCATTGCCCTGCCAAAAATGTGGCCCAAATGTTGAGATACCCCAACCTTGCATCGCATGCACTGAAAAAGCTCTCTTTCGCGTACGCGACACTCGATGGCCTTCATCAGCATGACAGTCGACTGGGCCAGATTGCCATTGGAGGCTCGCAGCATTCTGCGTACAGTGGAAAGCGATGTCCACTCTTCCAGCTCAGGAAAGCCCGCTTGCAACTGTTTCTGCAGCCCTTCGTCGAGATCACCCTCCTGCATTGCATGCCGATCATGGTCTCGGAAGTTGCAGGAATCCCTTGAAGTACTCTGTAGCCTACACACGCCAAAAAGGAAAAGGCCCTCGCGTAATTCCTTGAGAAGCTGCACCTAAAGCCTATACAATTTGCAAAGGGATAAGACTCCTCTCAGCTCCGCCAGGAGACGTACAGCGCAAGTATGATGAACCCTGAGTCCACCCATGTTGTCCAGTCATAGCAACATGAAGACGACCAGAAAAGGTAGTTTCCCCAACATAGACCCCAAAATACGATAAGCCTTATAATGGGGACTTCATGGGACCCCCAAAAAGGTTGTCCTAATTTTGGGAAACCCCCATGTAATTCGCGCAAGGCCTTAACCAAATGATCCTTGCATTGCTCTTGTAAACTTCAAGACGAGGTATGTCCTTCAGGCGCTTCTGCCACTGGTCTAACACCTCCTGCTTCAGAACCTCAGTTTATACAGGGTTCAGGGCTTAGGGACTTAAATCTAACCCTGAACCCTAAACCCTAGGTTCAGGTTTTGGGGCCTACGAACTTTAGGTTTGTCCCTTTAGGTTCAGGGACGATTGAGCGACTTTGAGGTTTGTGGCTTCTGAAGGGCTTAAACCAAGCCAGAACTCATCATCCCTTCTAAGGTTTAGGCATCATATCGGGCATATACAAAGTTTACAGGCTTCATATTGTTTATATAAGGCTTATATAGGGTTTACAGGCAGAATACAAGGCTTTCTAGGTTCATTCGGATAATGGAGAATGAAATAATGATGAATTGGAAACATCATGACAAGGGTTGTTGTGTAGCAGACCACTTTCGCATGCATAGGAATTTCGGTGCATTGCTCCATGATTTAAATTTGTGAAGCCCCTACCCGGCTGTGGCTGCAAATGCATATACCTGTGCCCCCAGAGTCGTTGCATACTTAGCAGAAGACCCTCAAAAAGGGACCCTGATGCAGCACCATCCAAATGGTAGTTTCCCAAAATACGGGGACCCCAATATAGACCCCAGTACACCACAGTCCTGATTATAGGGACCCCCAAAATGGTATCCGTAGTTTTGGGCAACCACCTCAAATTTCAGGTAAAACAGTTCCGAAAGACTGGCACGAGGTCCTCGTAGACATCTTCGGGCAGGAGCCTAGGCTGAAATTAAAGGGACTGTAATTGGGAACCCCAAACAGGGAACCCCAAGAATATAGTAGGAATATCATAGCAAATAAGGACATTCCTATTATATTCCTACTATATTCTTGGGTTCCCTGTTTGGGGTTCCCATTAAAGTCCCTTAGAAAGCTTCAGTTCACGGGCCCACGGGCTTTCCAGTTTGAAAGGGTTCAAGGTAGGTTACTTGGAGGGTCAGGGGGACTTAGTAAGTAGGTTAATAATGGGGATAATTGTGGTTACTATAATATGGCTTATAGGGGTTATTAGTATACTTGCTAAGCCCCCTTCACCCTCCGAGTACCCTCTCAGGATTTCTAAGCTCGGCGACCGACTGAAAGGCCATGACTGAGGCCAAATTGAGATTGAATGAACCATGCACCCTAAGCTTTGCTTCAGAATGATGCATCTGCTCTCCTCAGGCTCACAGGTTTCAGTGCACGTTCATCAGAACCTTGCACCAACCTTTAGGTTACAAACACAAACCTCAGAACGGGGTCTGAATGATCAGCCAAGAGAACGGCATGTCGTCTCTAAAGACTGGCTCTGGTAGCCGCACGGAGGCCCTCTCCGCATAGGTGCGGAAACCAACCTGGAACAACGGCAAGAAGGACATGCAAAAAGGCCAACAGCAAATGTATGAGCAGCAAAACCTGCACCTTCATCTTTATGTTACCTGCAAGCTGCTCAAAACTGTGGATCCCCTCCACCGCCCTGTAAATTTGAGAAAGGCCCATCTCCTCACACCCCAAATCCTGCGGCATGTAGGGCGGTGCCTCTGGGGCTCGAGATTGCATCCGGGTACGGGGCATCTCGCCGCTGCTTCGGCGCTCCAGCGGATATCTGCGAGGTCGATGTTGACCAGGCATGCAACCGCTACCTCAACTCGGAGCGTGAGCGGGAGGTAATTAGGATCTGCTCCAGCACAGAAGAATGCAGAATCCGGACTAGAATAAAAAACTCCATGATGTTGGTACTGCGCCAACTTTGCAAACCAGAGAGGGCAACTCTGTCGAAAGTCTTGCTGACGGGATTCAAGCAGAGTCCCCTGAGAAGGTCCGCTGAAGCATCTCTTCCCGAGTCTCGTAGCAGTCGAAAAATACCTGGAACTCTTCAGTCTCCTGGGTTGCTGTTAAGGAACTTAAATTAAGTTACGATAATGGGTATATATAGAAAATAATAGGGTTTCCCCAATATAGTAACTTAAGTTAAGCTCCTTAATCCCTATATTCCCCCGGTTTCCACTTCATTTTCCATATTCTTTTCCATTTGATTCTCCATGATGGTGGATAATATAGTAACTTAACCCTAAACCCTATATATCCCTGTATACCCCTATATAAATACCCTCCCTTATGTACCCTTATTGTAGTAACTTAATTTAAGTTCCTTAACAGCAACCCAGTCTCTGGAACATCCTGCCAGGAGTGATGCCTCACAGGGAATTGGAGATCATAGGGCTTTCGTTTAGGGTTTAGGGTTCAGGGTTTGGGGTTTAGGGTTTAGGGTTTGGGGTTTGGGGTTTAGGGTTTAGGAAGGGCGGTGTAGCAACGGCATAACTATTGTCTTGGTGAAGGTTGCTCCTGGAGTAGCTCACTTCAAACCTTAAACTTGCAAATGCTGGTTGTACGACGTGCCTGTTTTTCACAAGCAACGCAGCTGCTTCGTCGCCCCGGGTTGTGCAGCAAGCATAGTTCGAGACATCCCCAAGCGCATTGCCCATGATGCAGCACGACTTGCTGGTGCGTTAGGAAACTGGGTGAGGGTAAATAGGTGCGTATAAAGATACAAAACGATGATACAGGGATCATCATGGGATCCACTCCCACTGCCCCTCAATCTCAATCCGTACAACGAGGGCCATCAAAGAAACAGGTCTGCTTGTTGGGTTGGCGTCTTTCTCGAAATGAGGGCCCCGGTATAGCATGTATAGTCCCCTGACATAAGAAAGCTCTTGCGACAGAAATTCCAAGCGGGTACCCGAGCTTTTAGGAGCATCAAAAGCGCTTCAATGACTCATCGAGTTCAACTGGCAAGTGCCAAGGTCTAAGAAGCTGATCAGCGCCGTTCAAAAGGAAATTTGTCAATATTGGACCTATCTCTGGAGAGAAATCATAAAGTCTATGAAAGCTAGAAAGGATGGTTCAGGATTCCAAGTGCTTGCCGTGTCATGTCTGTGGACGCACTGTTGCAGCCTGCCACAGCCAAGAAGCGCAGCTTGCATGACATTCGACCCCGCTCAGCACACATGCTGAGACTGGCAATGCCTTGATATGAGCCATTGTTTTAGCTCCCAAAATCCCCCTGAATAAGCCGTATAGTACTCCCTTCTGTAAGAGTCCGAGGATCACTCTACACGTCCCACTCCGAAAGGCCATTGGAGGGTACCCGTTTAAGGACTTTGAACTCTGGCTTTTATGTTTTAAGTTATACTGTGACTATGCTTATTACGGTTGATGTTAATATTACTCTCGCGATCACCTATTTACTATGACTGTTACTATAACCATTACCATCATTATTACCTAGTATCACATTCTATTACTATTGCTAATTACAGGCAAAATATCTAGGTGTCATCGCTGTTTTTTATTGCTGCCTCTGCTATACACACTAACCAGTGAACTTGAACTGGAAGCATAAACCCTAAACCCTAAACTCTGCAGACTTTGCCAACAAGCCTCCCCTGTTGGCCGCGCTGGTCAGTTGGAACGCTTCAGAGCCATGAGACTGAAAAGTGATTGAGGAATCTGGTCATATGATCTATAGTCTAAACTCCTTAAAAAAGTGATATGAGTTTAGGGTTTGGGGCCTCTATGAAACCCCTACATGAGCATAGTCTAAACTCCCAGTATACCCCAATAGTGGAGAATCAAATGGAAAAGAACATGGAAAACGAAATGGAAACTGCGATATGGGTTATATAAGCTCTATATGAGATATCAGATATAGTCTAAACTCCTTAAAGGGAGATACATCGGGGGTTATACAGGGGACTACCATGGGGTTTATTAAGGTGCATGCTAGGAGTTTAGACTATGGCGCATCTGCAAGTGGCTTGTTAACCTAAACCCTAAACCCTAAACCCTAAACCCAAAGGACCATGGAAGGATTATGGTTGTTGGCAAGCACCTGAAGTCTCCTTCAGGCAGGGCTCTGGTTCCTAATGGTACGAATCTGCACTGGCACAGTCAGTTTGACTGGCTGCTGCCTTCTGCATGGTTTTGGGGATTAAGTTTCTGTCATCAAGCAGCTTGCTGGAACTCAGCAGCAATGCCTGCTGACAGTCATCATTAAGGGCGTTTAGCGAACATCTCAGAGCACGCATTGCAGAAGAAATATCTGAAAGCCGCCGGTCCCACCTTAGGATATCTCAATAGCTGGATACCTTTCGGCATCCTAGAGGGATGTGGAGATTCCGACCATCTGGATCTCCCTAGGGAATTACAGGGGAGGGTAATGCAGGGATTGCTTTGAGAAGCCCACCTCTTTGCTTCCGGTCTGCGCCGGTCACACTGGATCTGGAGGCGGTCTAGAAAGCCTGCCTGGATGCCGTCCACTTGTCGCAGCGCCCTCTCACCTAGACTGGGATTGCAGGTCCCAGAGAAATCTAGTCTGTTGGCTATACAGGCATGTAGTACAGGTGGAGTGGAGGGTCCACAGGTATCGAGTCGTTGCGCAACAAGCAGTAAAGGAATATCTAGAAAGGCAGTACTTGACACTTGGCTCGGTCACTGGCACATTGCATGCCGTTGCGGACGGTCTCTTCCAGCTGCTTGTCTGCCTTGTCCAATGCAGTGAAGGACGACCAGAAACGTCTCCGTACAGTCAGCTGCATCTCACGTGAAACCTAGTCAGGGTAGACCCGTAGACAGTGATGATTGGAGTAGCCTCTTATGGTTACATGAAAATCAAACTGGAACAATGTTTCTGAGGAGACTCCAGCAGCAGCATCAAGTCTGCTGCCCCGCAGCCTTAAAAGGCCATCCTGCAATTCCATACGGGTGACTTTGCCATTATGGTCATCATCGATCAAGCATGCAAGCCGCCCTGCATCGGAAGGCAGCGCAATCCTCATGTCATCCAACACCGCCCGTGCCGGAACGGATCGTAGTAGCTTGACATACTCAGTTTCTGCAAGATAGTTTCGCCGCCTCCTGCTCGCCGTCTCGAACAAGTCTGTGATCCTTTCCCTCAGCTCTTCAATCTCAAAATCCTTTTCTTCTGCAGACGCTGGTGGCAGCTGCCTGGCAAGTTCCATGACACGCTCGCAGACGACGCCCGTCACAAGATTCAAGAGAGCGAAGTTGCTTATGAAGATGAAGATCATTAGGTACACCGACCAGAAGTCGGAGTCTTGCAGCATTGCTTCTGAGATCTCTGGCCAGCCCTCAACCAACACCAGCTTGATGTGCGTAAGGAAACTGCTTGGCACAGATCCAAAAAAATACTTCAGCTCAGGGTTGGCATTGTCTCCCAGAGCCTCTGAACATAAGAGTGCTCCAACATACGACAGGATTGCTAGCAGGATCATTGCATCGATAATGGTAATCATCGTGCTTACCAGGCCTTTGACCAGGAGCGCCAAGGCTGGAACAATAGACAGGATGTGAACAAATCCTCGGTTGCTGTCAAGGAACTTAAATTAAGTCACCATAATAAGGAAACCCTAGTTTTTCTACCATACACCCATACTATGGTAACTAATGAGGAAACCCTGTTTCTTTCTACCATACACCCATATTGTGGGAACTTAATCTACATTCCTTAACAGCAGCCCAGACTCGTAGGAGCCGTAGGAGTCGCAGTGCGCGTACCAGCCCAAGCATGGCGCCAGGCAATGTGATCTCAGTGACCAATAGGACAACGTAGCCCCCTGCACCTGTAGTCTCCTTAGACCTATAATCAAATCTTAGGGTTTAGGGTTTAGGGTTTAACAATTCCTTAGGGTTATACAAATTTGAAAATCAAAGATAATTCCTAAGGACCCTACAGGCACTGAGGAGCAGCAAGATGTCCAGAATTCCCAGAGGTGTGCGAAACAACTTTCGCCCCGTGGCCCGGAGCCGGAGAACAAACTCAATGCTGAAGACAGTGAATAGAAGACAGTCCATGGTAAGCACGAAGTAGAAGAAAGCCTGGTAGGGTTTAGGGTTTAGGGTTTGCCGAACGCTAAAGAATCTAGAAAAAGCTACCACGCTAGCGATGTATAGAAATGAAATGGGCTTTTCTTTGGAGGTTTCCAAGTGAGGGAGCCGGAATCCCAAAATGAGGCTTGTAGCATACTGGGTTCTACGTTAGGGTCCTCTGTCTTTATGGGAGCTAGCATGTTCTGGAAACTTAGTTTATGGTCCTTAGCTAAGAAGAGCATTTTGGTAGCCCCAAAATTGGGATATGGTAACTATGATAAGACCTGTCGCATTCTGACTATAAAAGCGTTCTAACCTTAATTTTCGTGTTACCAACGTCTAAACCCTGAACCATGAACCCTAAACCTAAAAACTGCAAACTAAACCCTAAACCCTTAGTACTCTACACCCCAAAAACTACAAACTAATGCCTAAGCCCTTAGTACTCTACACCCAAAAAACCTACTAACTAAACCCTTGGCTATTAACAGCAGCTCAGATACCCCACCGTGCTGTCGAAGAGCCCCGCCGGCGAGCTGGCTTTGTTCTACCTGCTGCTTCTGGAAGGCAAACTCCTAGGCCAGTCTTTCAGCAGGGTTTAGGGGTTAGGGCTTAAGCAAAAGTACCAGAATCTACGTTCACCTACTTGTAATTTTCAAGTTGAAATACGTCAAAACATACTATGATATAATGATACAGTTTAAGATGTATAACGGAATGAATACAATACCCTACAATTGCTAGGAGCAAAATAAAACTTATGTAAGCAACATATTCCTGGCTCCTGGCATGGGGCTTTAGGAACAACGGCAAAGATTCAAAACTCTACCATAAGCTGATCTGGATTCCAGTTCCAGGTCCACAGCCATCATTATTGCTTGTACAAAGATGGCAATGCCAATGAGCAGCGATGCTTGCCCACTCTGAATCCAGGCATCACCCGCGAGCTTCACACGGCGCACGTACGTATTGTGAATACCATCTAATTTGATCCACTTGGGGGAGTTTGCCACGCCAGTCAGCATAGAAGATGAGCCGGATCTCAAGGTTCTCAGGCTGGAGGGCTTTTTTGTAATCTCCAGCTCGTCAGGCATTCGCAGCATGGCCTCTCCGGTTATGCCCCCGGTGAGGCCTCCAATCCTTCCTCGAAACATCCTGTCGGACTTCCTCCACGAAGGAGACGACTACAAGACTAATCAAATGGCTAAAAAGCGCAAATACCGCGCTCCCTCCCAGAAAGATCACTGAGCCAGAGCGATGGAGCGCCAACAAAAATAGACCGCCTGCAGGAGGTGCGGGTTACTGTAAGCAGGCCCCAAAAGTAATGGAGGATCCCCCCCAAAGGGCGTCCTATTCTACTCCATGGTACCAGGTTTGCGTCGTGCCATGCCAAGCGTGGCGCTCAAAATGGAAGCCATTCCTACTGTACATGCTGGATACAACTTGACATGCAACAGCTAGCAGTGCCCCGATGCATGCGAATTGGAGGTTCAGAATAATCATAGCCCAATGGTAACTGGTACGTATAGCCCAATTTGAACTATATCGGAGGAGTTAGGGGGCTTGTAATTGCAGGATTAATTCGGTTGTAAGTTATGATTACTTTGAGCCTCCAAGTATCCTGTTTTGTTCGAAAATCATACCATCCGGGCATGACTTTGGCCCAGCAGTGCGCTCACTGACCTGCAAAGACACCAACAACACAAGCAGTGTCAGCGCGCAGCGAAAGCTTGAAAAGCACAGCACTCCCTACACTCTGAACTTAGCAGTTGAGCCATTGTCTAAACTC